GCGGGCGCGGCAGCCGGGCAGGGCTGATTGGCAAGCCAATTCTCTGCGGGCTGGCAGGGCGCATGGCGAAGAACCAGCGCGCCGCGGCAGGGGCGCCCCCGGGGCCCCGAGCGCCGCGGGGGCGCGGGGGGGGCGCCGCCCTGATTCAGCGCGGGATCGAGGGTAGACGCATGGCGGTGGAGCCACGTCCACGAGTCGGACGCTCTTTTTTTTCCAGCAGGTTCCCAGGGCGCGCCAGGAGGCCTGGTATACCTGCCAGACAGATTCGATGACCTCTGACAAGCTGGGGGCCCATCCAGACCCCGATGAAGTGCGTCGATCTCGCGGGCCGCCGGTCGATTCAGATTGGCGAGTTTTCGCGCCTGCAGAGCGCCTTGCACCATCCAGAGGCGGCGCTTCGCGTGCGCCCATAGCTTTAAAGAGGTACCTTCCGTCACTGTGGCCAGCATGTGCCCCCGTGAGTCGCCGCCCAGGAGTGAGCTTTGACGCGGGTTGCGAGGCGCGCTGGGGCTGCCGGGGCACGTCCGAAGATGAGGTTCCGAGGGCCCCCCCCCCCCGAATTGTTCAATGCGCGTGGGGGCTCCAGCGGGCGCCGGCGTCGCCGGGGTCAGCTCTCTGGCGCCTGCCAGGAGAAGTGCAGACCCATCTGTTTCTTGACTGTCCCACTTGCAGCGCTTGGACCTTGATCCCGTTAGGGCCCCGCGATTATTTGCGGTCTGCGACGCGCCCACCGGTCTCAGGCCCCCGCGCGAGACGGAGTTGTCTTCGCGCCCAGCGCCCAGGGGCAAAGCGCAGCGCGCCGCCGTGGCTCAATGGGGGGCGGGGGGGCCAAGCCGCGCAGCCCACAGGGCTGGCCCCGCGCCGTTGCCGACAAGATGCGCGACGACCCTCAGAGTGGCTGGATCAACGGAGCCACGATTGGGCGCACGTGCTGGATGGCCTCACGATTGCGGAGAGGCCCTGGGGCTGCCGGACCAGTCGCGCGATTGTGTCAGGGGGTGCAGCGCGGACGAGAAGTCCGGCAATGCGATGGGAATGGAGAGATGTTGGCCTGCGATTCTGCCCGAGTCTCTCAGGTTCGCGCGAGACGCGCTCCGCCGCGGTTGGCATCCGTCGACGGCGGCCACGGCGGGCCTCAAAAGTTGGGACCGCTGGCTCTCGCGTCGCAGCATCAACGTGATAATGACGCGCCAGTAGTTGCGCCCAGTGACGGGCGCGGCCACGCTGGCTGAGATCTGCGCGTGCAAGAATGACCTCTGCGCTCGTCTGCTGCGCGCTCAGGGCCAGGGTCTGAACGCGTTGGATCCATTGCGGGCAGGGCCGTCGAAGGTTCCGACGCCGCCGCCAGGGGAGAAGCAACCCGTGTCATTCTACACCGCGATGCCCAGAAAGCGCGGGCCCCGGGCGCCCTGCCGGCGCATCGTCGAGGGGGCGAACTGGCGAATGCGGGCAGTTCTCGCGGGCGGCCTCTCTACAGAGGCCTTCCGAGGGCGGAGAGGGGTCTGCGGGCGCGTCGGAGTCGTCTTTCGACGGGGAACCGAGGGGCACCCATTTGAAGAATGAGCTGGGCTGGGAGGGCATCCGGAACCGACCCGGCGAGATGGCCGACCTCACCACGAGCATTACGGACGCCCGACAGTAGCAGGTCGGCGAGCTTAAGGGCGCCGTCTTAAAGCAGATTGAGGCGATGGCGACGGTCCGGGCGCGAGCCCAGAAGCCGAATCGCTTGGTCAAGCAAGCGGGCTCGCCAATCAAGGGACAGTTCGGCGGCGACGCAGCCGACTCAAGGGTGACTTCGCCCGAGCCAATGACAGCTGCCGCTCGGGTCCCAGCCCCAGTGGCTCGGGTCCTTGCAAATTCCGAATGTCCCGCGTCAGTTCTCCGCCAGAGGGGCAGCGGCCGCCCTGGGTGGCGCCCTTCTGGGCCGCAGCTCTTCGGCTCGAGACCGGCGCCGCGGCGGCCGGCGCCTCTGCGAGCCGCGGGTCCGACGAATTCCCGGCAGCCGTCTCCGCGGAGCTACGTCGGGACGGCGCCGTTCGACCTCGCCGCCAGCTGTAGAGTCGCAGGTTACGCTCCGCACGCAGGCAGCCGCTGGGGCGGGCGCGCCGCGGCGGCCGCCCAACCTTCCTTTTGTGGCCACCCGTCCCACGGCGCGCGGATCAATCCAGGCGGGCCGTCTGACGCCCGAGGATGGCCAGTTGGAGGCGCCGGGGGCTCACTCGACGCGGCGAGCCACGACATCCCGCCCGAGTCCAGCTTGGGCCTTGAGAAGGCTTTGGCGGCCACGGAGGGGCCGCGCGGCATTCTTCCGGCGGGGCACGGCGCGGTCCGGCAGAAGCCTGCTTCAGCGAAGGCAGCCGGGAAGATCGCCGCGGCAACTGCGCCGGCGACCGCTACCCCGCCGACTGACGACCCGTGGAAGGAGAGCCCACAGTCCGAGAAGGCGAGGAAGGAGTTGGCCGCGGCCGAGGAGGCGGCTAGCGAGACGGCGAGGGGAGACGACTGACAGGACTGGCGCTCGACTGAGTGGCCCACGTATTGCAACTCAAGATGACTTGAGTTCGCCACTCCTCAGGGATCTCAGGGTTTCGAAAGCCCCCCTCGCGATGTTGGGCTGTTTCATTGCCTGGTATATCAGAAGAACAAGTATCGCTCCCACATGAAAGGGGGCTGAGGCCGTCCATGGATATTCAGCAACGGCGATCTTGAACTTCGACTGCCGAATAAAGAAAAGCAGTTTCAAGCTTGTGCAGGGGCGGCGGCGTCAGAGCAATGTCCAAAAACGGCTAAAAATGATGACCCTCCCCCCCTCCCCCGGAACCCGACTGCAATTAATTCGCATCCGAAAAACTATTTGTTTATCTGTCCCGCTTGGGAGAATCCATGGATGTCGACCGATGCCACTTGTGTATACCTCGGTACCAGGGAGAATGCCGATGTGACATTGTAGCTTGGTGTAGCCCCTTATGTCTAGCCTGGAGGGCGCGCCGGCCCTCGTTTTAAACCTGGCGTAGCCCCGCTTGCGTGGCCCAGAGGGGGGACGGCCTTCATCGTATCCTGGTGTAGCCCCGCCCATTGGGCCCAGAGGGCGGTGCGACCTTCGCTGTAACCTGGTGTAGCCTTGGCGCGGCCTCGAACTGAGCGGCTTGCTGAGAGCTTTTCTGGCCTGGAGGGCGATCGGGCCTTCGTCGTAACCTGGTCTAGCCCCTCTCTTGTCCTGTTGTTCCACTCTGCCTCCGCCCCCTCTCCGCCTCGACTCCCCGCCTCCGAAAACAAACGCTAGTTGCACAACATGTTCATCGCATGTCGCGGGTCCGATGAGGCCATCTTGAGCCAACTTGGGCCATATTGCGTCATCTTGGAGTCCATCTTAAAGCACTTGTGGCCCTCTCGGCACCAAAGGGCGTGTGTAAGGGATGGCCCCCAAGTGCGGTTTCTTTCCGCGCCAGGCTCGGGCGTGTCAGGCGTGGCTTATTCGCAACCCGAACAGGGTGCGCTGTGCGCAGGGGGTGGTCCGTGAACGCAGTCTCTATCCACGCTGGGGTTGCAGGGCGTAGCAGGCGTGGCCTGAAGCCAAGAGGGGGTGCGCAGGAATCTGCCCCTGCACGCAGGGCGCCAGGGCGGTCGCAGGGACATATCCAGCGATCCAGTTTGCCCCGCCTCCCTTTTGTTTTCTATAGGCGCGCTACAGCGCTGGGGAAAACCATGTTTTAACTGTCTCCCCACGATCGTTTTTAAACTTGCTTTTAGACATTAGCAGCCGCTCCTGGTGCAGGTGACGCGATTCACCGGGTGGCGGAGCAGGTTGACATGTAGCACGCCTGGGACGATGCAGCAGGTGTTCCACTGTGAAGACCTTACGGCCAATGCCGCCGACCCTGGAGGACCTCCGCCGTGACCCGCGCTTGCGCCCCGGGTGCGCCCTCCCTCCCGAATCCCCCCCCGCCCCATCACCCCCCGCCCGCACGCACACACCAATCCACCCATCCCACCCCCATCCCCCCCCCCGGCAGGGAAGGGAAACGCGAAAGCGAAAAGACCAGACTTTCCTTGACCTTTGCTCCTTAATTTCTTTGGGGTTGGTGATGGCGACGACGACGACGACGTAGAGCCCAAGGGGGGAAACCCAGGCACCTGCCGAGGTGCACCGTTGGGTGCGTTCTTTTCAGCCCCAGAGGTATTCAGGGTGAGTGTTGGGATAGTCCCCCTGGTCACGCTTTCTTGTATCATTCACAGTGGATCTTGGAGAACCCCCCGGGTTTGAGGTCGAGTGTCGTAGCATTGGTTGACCAACGTGCAAACATCTGACCTCCACAAGCACCACATACACCCCTCATTTTTTTTCATACGATGTGGAAGCGTATGTATGCAATGCACGTAACGCTGTGCTGTTTAGTGAAAATACCCAATATGGACAGTGTTGTCGTCACTGCTGTCGTCCTCGGGGTTGCACAACTGGAGTCCCCAAGTGGACCGAAATTGATAAAGGCAAATCACATCTACCCGTCTCGTCCTCCGTTTCCTCCTTTGCGCCCCCGTGAAGAGTGGCCCCCGCATTTGTCATGGGGCGCGCCGCTACCGTAATTCCCGGCGCGGGTCCAACCGTGGCGACGGGGACGCTTCTTGCAGGCCGGAGGGGGAAGCAAACAACGCCCAACAAGCCTCGGACCCTGATCTTTGATCCGAGAGTCTGATCCCTCTCGTCCTCCTCCGTGCTGCCCACCCGCCTCCTGCTCTGCGGCTGCGGGATGGCAGCAGCAGGAGCCCTGTGTCAAGGTGTCTGTATAGAGATCTATATACGTATCAATATATGCGTGTGTACACATCTACACACGAGCTAGACATCTTCAGCACTATCACGCGGGCAACCAACCTAGTGCAGCGAGGGTCGCCCGCAGACGATTCGGAGGGGTCCGAGGCTTGTTCGCCCGTTCGTCCCCTGAAACTCGCCTCTTGGCCGCTTCGCGAGACCCCCCCTCATCCCCGCGGCGCGGCCGCAGGCGGCACACGGCTGGACTACTACGTCCGCCTGCCGCCCGCCGCGCCCCACCCGCCCAGCGATCCGAGCAGGCTAGAGGGGGAGGACGAGAGAGGAGGAGGCAGGAGGAGCAGGCAGGAGGAGGAGGAGGAGGAGGAGGAGGAGAAGGAGGAGAGGGCCGAGGAGGAGGAGGCAGAGGAAGAGGAGGAGGCAAAGAATGAGGAGGAGGCAGAGCAGGAGGAGGAGGAGGCAGGAGGAGGAGGAGGAGGAGGAGGGCCGAAGAGGAGGAGGAGGAGGCAGAGGAAGAGGAGGAGGCAAAGAAAGAGGAGGAGGCAGAGGAGGAGGAGGAGGAGGAGGAGGAGCTCTCCTGGTGTTTTTTCCGTCTTCGGGCCTCCTCCTGGAGGCCTTTCGTTGCCACCACCGGGCCCGTTTATGTGTCCATCTCCTTGTCCTTGCACGAATAAGCAGGTGTGACAACAGCATCGGTTTGAAGTTAGATGCTACGTGTCATCGATGTTCTTTTTGAGATGGACGTTTGGATTGATTGTGAGGAGATTGCGGACAGGCGGGAGATCCGCCGTTGTCTCAGATGGCCCTCGTCCGGATGTGTAGGTCTGGGTCAAGGCCGCCATGGCATTCCCTCATTCACCGGCCCCAGCACCGCCGCCCCCCAGGCCAACGGGAGGCCTTGGCATCTTTTAGCGGGCGAAGAACGGTAGAACATAAACTTGTCCGCCGTCGTGGACGCTTGCCCCCCCAGGCGGATGGAAGATTATACCCTACGGTGTCTCGTAGGGGGTATACTTTCAGCCGCCCAGGGGGCAGGCGTCCACGACGGCGGAAAATTTAATGTTATACCGTTCTTCAGCCCATAAATATTCGCGTGATCAAGATGTCACCACGGGAGGTTTTGGGCCGTCGGACTTTTGGGGGACCTTGGATCAGGGCCACCAGCGCTTTTCTACCACTGCTGCTCTGGCACCGCAGCACCCCCAGGCCAGTGGGAGGTTATCTCCACGTTGGTCCTGGGGGCCGACGCCAGGGTCTCTTCCATTACTCAGAGGGCGCAGCCGTGTTCTAGTGATGCTGACGGGAGGCGCCGACGGCGCCGTTGTATCGCCGACGTCGCCGATGCATCGGCGATGCCTTGGCGATGCCGCGCGATCCTCCGACCCTCTCTGCCCGGACCCGATCTAGGAGGCCTCCAGAAGCGCAAGACTCGTCTTCGCCAGAACACGGTCTCGCCGACGCTTCTTGACGGGCCCGTCCTGACTTTTTACGGTCCGCTCTGCTTGGGGATATTTGGAGCCCGTTTCTTTATTGCTTGGGGCATGACGGGCGTCATGGCCCCGCTACCCCATCCCCTATGACGTAACGCTCCCCCCCCAGTGCGCTCCGGGCACTGCCGCCGTGCGCACTGGGATCCGCATAGGTGTCCGCGTAGGAATCCGCATAGGTGTCTGGTCCGCAGGCGTCGTCGTCGTCGTCGTCGTCGTCGTCGTCTGTCGTCGTCGCTCGTGGTTCGTCGCTCGTCGCTCGTGGTTCGTCGTCGTGCGCGCGGACGCGGCTGGAGCCTGGGGTCGATGACGTCACGTTTCGCGCCGGCGGCGTCTGGGAATGCTTAGCAATGACGGAGGACGGGTAGCACGAACATGTAGGTGGCGATATGCACCACAACGCCTGTGTACATCAGAGTGCCCGCGTGCACCACAGCGCCTGTGTACACCACACCGCCGATGTACACCACAGCAGCCGCGTGAAACACAGCGTCAGTTTGTGCCACCGTGCCTGCGGGCACAGCAGCTCCTGTGTACACCACAGCGCCTCCGTACACCACATCAGCCGTGCGGAACACAGCACCAGTGTACACCACAATGCCTGCGTGCATTGCAGTGCCTGTGTACGCCACGGCGCCTGTGTGCGCCGCTGGAATCTACGAGTCCCCCCGAGTCCGCCCGCATCACCCTAATTCCCATTTGCGTCCAGGAGGCTCCAGCTAAACTGGCCGTCTGAGAGCCAAGTGGACCGATTCAATCGACCATTCTGCGGTGCACGCTGAGATGCGCACGTGCGTTGTAACGCCAAGCCGCACGAGAGGGGGTAAGAAGGAGGGAAAGGAGGAGGAGGAGGAGGAGGTGGAGGTGGAGGAGGAGGAGGAGGAGGAAGGAGGGAAAAACGTCGCATTCGATTATCAGAACTTTCCTGGCGTGGCGTTTAGTTGTCTGCAGCAGATCCTGACGTACATGCTCCTTTTACCTGTCCTATGCACGCAGGCATTGTGGTGTACACCAGCGCTGCGTTGCACGCGGATGCTGTGGTGTAGACAGGCGCCATGGCGTGCACAGCGGCTACGGTGCACACAAGCACTGTGGTGTACACAGGCGTTGTGTTGCACATGGCTGCTGCGGTGTATGTACACCGGCGCTATAGTGCTCCAAAGTATTGTGGTTTTCACGGGCGGTGCGTTGCGCAAGGCTGTTGCGGTGTACGCAGGCGCTGTGGTGCACACGCGCGGTGTGGTGCACTCGAGCGTTGTGGTGCACACAGGCGCAATGGGCAGATTGCCACCTACATGCCGCTCGCGTCGTCGTCGTCGCTCCTCGCTCGTCGTCGTCGGCGCCAGAACCACACGGCGGGGGGGGGCGTCACGTCATACCCCCCCCCGCCCTCCCCCCCCCTCCATGACGCCCGTCATCGCCGAACATGAAGAAACGCGCTCCTGCATCGGGAACTGGCGTCGGATTTCAGATTTGGTCTCGTCATTTTTTGACGGCCTTGCACTCAGATCCCCCAGAGGTCTCGGCCCCTTCCGAGGACCGCTCTTTCCTCCCGATTCGCTCGTTGGCGGCCCGGGCCTGAGTGCCCTCAGATGCCAAACATTGATCAAGATATCCCGCGGAGGTCTTGAGGCTCAAACCGCCGAATCTGCCCTGACGTTTCAAACTGGCCTAATTCAGCGCGTTCGGCTTAGACTTGTTTTGATGTTGGCTTAGTCCAGGTCCAGCTTGTTCGTGCTCAAGTCCGTAGCCGTTCCCGCGAAGACCTCCCAGGAGTGGCCTCAACAGATATCTCTGGGGAAGAGAGGGGGGAGTCGGAGTAGGATGAGGAGGAGGAGGCGGGAGGAGTCTGGCGGAGCGGGCGGGATGGGCTGATGGAGGGCTGAGCGAGAAGCTGCAGTCCCGCCTGGCAGCGCCGTTACCCGAGCAGGTCTACAGCCACTTCTGCGAGAACCCGGCGCCCCCCCCGCGCGCCGCCCTGGACGCGAGTTGGGGGTTGGGGAACAATATTCTACCCTTTAGATTGACCCTTCGCTGGGGTGACCTTCGGTTCGGGCCCACTGGGGCCCCCGCTCGGTGAGTGCAATGGGACAGCAGCGGCTTGCCCGCTTGGGTTTGCCCCCCCCCCCCCCCCCCCCCCCCACCCTCAAGCACCTTGACCTCGAGCCGCGCACCAAAGGTCACTCTTGCCTAGGGCCTCACTCCTCGCACAAGGATCGACAAAGCATGTGTTTCCCCACCTGACAAGCTGTGGCTGTTAGGTCTGAACGAAAGGCCCGCAATACTGTATCTCCAGCTGGCAGGTAGGCCCCCGAGGCTGCGCCCGACCACAGCGCCAGCGCCTGGCCGCCGCCGCCGCCGAGAACGACGACGACAGGGCGCCGACGAGGATAGGCCTCACAAATGGGGGTCCGAGTAGATGGGGTCGGGGGATCGCGCTGCATCATCGACATCGGCTGGGGTCCTTCGATTGAGGCAGCACGCCCGCAGCAGTTTTGCCCCCCCCCCCCCCCCAGCCGACGTCGGAGTGAGGGAACAGCAGCCCGCCCGCCGGCCCCGCGTGCCGCGGTCTGCAGCCGCCGTGGCCCCATTGGGCTCAGGTCGGGCACGTCCCTCTGCAGGAGGAACGTTCCAGAATAGTAAACAGATGGTCGGGGGACGATGTTTTTGCTATGTTTGATCATTTTGGAGCATATGTTTGGGGTATAGTGTGGGTACGCTTCATTTCTCATCCAAGGTCCGCCTGTAGGGGTGCATGCCCGACCTAACAGTAGTCCCGAGTCTCCCGAGTGTGCGTGTGTGGGGGGGGGGGGGCAGGATGTGCCCGGACGATGAGCACGAAAGGCCAGCAGGTCCTAGGTTTAGAAGCCCCAGCCTTGCCCTCCAAGGACTCCGCAATGAAGATGCCCCAACCGCAACGAGCAGCATTCACCTTCACGCGCAGCAGACTGCATCGGTGAGCGCTTGCATATTGCTCACGCTCGTGGCAAACCGGTCTGGACGGCGACGAATTACCGTTGGCTGGACGCGGGTTCTCAGCCTTAATTGCCATGCCTCGACAGCCAGGGTACAGACGGCTGAAGAGGGGGGATCCGTGAGGCTCGACAGCCTAGCGCTTTGTTTAGACGGAAGGAAACACGAGCAGCTTGTTCAGTGGCGATGGGCTCCCATGCCTTCGATTTGGCAGCGACTGGAAATTGAACCTGGGGGCATCCACTTTCGAGGCGGAGCCCCAGGAGACGAGTGCACCGTGAGCTGCGTAGGGATAGCGTCCGCCCCACCCACCGAGTCCCCCGAGTTCCCCGCCTCACCCACGAGCCCAGCATCTACCGTAGCCGCAGGGCCCAAGCAATCCATGGTCTCCCGAGTACCTGCCTCGCTGAGCCACACACGGGCCCTGGGATTGTCAGGCAAGCGTTCAGGACGAAGAGTTGGCTTTCGGCGAAAGGCCCCAGGGTTCAGGACCCGTTTGCCTCAGGACCCGTCTGTTTCATGCACCCACCTCGCTCGACTCCACAGATGGCGCTCAGCCTGTGCCGGCCCTCTTTACGCTGCTTCAAGCGGCGTAAAGAGTGCGGCGCAAGCCTTGCGCCGCACTCAACGGTTCCCCTAGGTTTACGGCGTCGTGAATTTGTCACAGTGCGGACCCTCGGTGGTCAGCACCGATTCCTCGGGAGACGGGTTTGTCATCCCGAGGTGTCTTTGTTACGGTCTTGTGGCCTTGTGAGGCCCCCAGAGGCCGAAAATGCCCAGACAGCCCCTCGCTGTAGCTCTTCCACACTGAGAGGAGATTGCAGTTGGTGGACATCCTTCGATCATCAGTTCTACACCCTTTGCTTTCTACTATCTATGTCCTGAATTCTTCCCCTGCATGTGCCATCTGCTCCGGGCCGTAAGATATCCACACTCTGCCCTCTACTCTCCGCTCTCTGCCAGTGAACTGTGCTCTCGATACCCTGCTTGCCAGCCCCTCGCCTCCACCCTCGGCTCGCTTCCAACTCCTGCCACCCACTCTCCGCTCCCCACCCACGCCCCCGTTGTGTTCTCCACTCCCTGGGATCGACACGTCGGCACCACCACACGCTTACAAGCCGGTCGTTGAAAGCAGGTATTTTTGGATTCCCAGATCCCAATATATTTCCAACGCCTCCCTACTTGAAGAATCGATATGCTTTTGATTTTTTTTTATCTGGGAAGGCCTGAACCCAACCTACTTCATCCGCCTTCCTGCTTCATGTGTTTACCTACTCCTTCCGACCGACGTGCAAGGGAACGAACAATGACATAAACATAACAACTCGGAGGTCCGCGCGGATTTCTCGCATCCGCGCTGGACCCCTTTGGCGGCGCCTCTGGAGCCGCCCCCTTGCGCGCTCCGCGCGCCAGAGAGGGGTCCGGTGCCGATCCGAGGAATCCGCGCGGCCCTCCGAGTTGCGATGGTCATGCCATTCAGAGCGTGAATTACCTACCCCCCTTTGGCTTCCAGGCAAAACCAAGCCATACCACGCGCCTCCTCGTCAAGCGGCCTGACCAGTACAGGCTGCAATTTGGCATCGTTTGGTATCTCTTGGAAGCGAGGGTGGTCAAAAGCGAGGTAGGTTTGTCTTCCCCCTAATTGCTCGTTCCCCGAGCGCTCGCAGCGCGCCCGCACCGATCGGCGGCAGACGGCGGCAGACGGCGGCGCCGCGCGCCCCCCCTCTCGGGCAGGGCAACCAGTGCTTCGTGCTGGGGGCGGACGGCTGCAAGGACTGCATCCAGAGGCGTGCCGTCTGGGCGCCCCCCCTTATCAGGGGAGAAATAGATACGGATACGTGTTGTCCCCCTTCGTTTTCGGCCTTTCCTGGTCCTCCTGGGGAATCCTCGTTGTCACCGCTGGATTCGCCGCGAAATTCTGGTCAGAACGCACCCCAAGAGAGGTCCGGGGACAACACGTATCCGTATTTTTCCGCCCCCAACCTTAGGGGGACGGGCCGGTGTTCGCATCAAGCCAGGGCGCTGCTAACCTCAAGCAGTGGCGAAGCGTCCCGGCTCGCATGTAGGCCTACCGAAGAATGTTCTGAGAACCTGTTGTGGCTTCGACGAAAGGTTCTTAGACATGTTTGGCTGGGACTGTCTTGTTTTATCGCATCGGGTTTATGTTCTAAGAACATTGCTTTGTGATTAGAACATGTTTGGGTTCTAAGAAGATTTTTGTGGTAGGCCTATGGGAATGCCAGGACGGTCGGTCCCTGCTCAATAACCACAATTTCGAGCATTCCACCTGGAGGATGAGGGGCATTGCCAGCAATCGGCCACGCGCAGGGAGGGAATCAGCGGGAGGGATGAGGTCTTCTCGGGAGCGCCCTTGCTTCTCACAGGGCCCGGGCCCCGTCTGCAGATGCAGGGCCGGTGCCTTCTGAGAACCAACTCTCTTCTAAGAAGCCTTCCCCCCCTCCCCTGCCACCTGTTGCGCGCCGGCAAGACACGGAGTTTGAATCATTTCACCCTGAGTGCACGCGTTGGCACTCCCTCGAGGTGAGGAGGGGCTCGGATTCACCAGGGCGCTGGCGCTCCCTCGAGGAGGAGGGGGCACTGCTAGCCTGGACTTTGACTACACGCTGGTATTTTTGGATCCCCCAGATGCCAATCTACTTTAGCCGCCGTCCTACTTCAAGAGTCGAGTGGTTTTCCCGCTTCCCTTCTCGTCAGGGGATGGGCGGAAACCCAACCTACGTCTAATGCCTTCCTACTGGAGGGCACTTCGCTACCCACTTCTTCCGTCCAGCGTGTACGGAGGTGTACGGAGGCACTTTGGTATACGGAGGTGTACGGAGGCACTGTGGTGCGTGCGCCTGCTGTGGTGTACGGAGGCACTGTTGTGTACGCAGGCAGCGCTGTGCTGCACGCGAGCACTGGGCATTGTCGCGTGCACAGGGAGTGGCACGCAGGTGTTGGGCATTGCCGTGTGCACAGGGACCGTGGTGCACACAGGCGATTGCTGTGCTGGTGGCTCGGGCTCACCTTGGCGCGTGCGCGCCGCGGCCGCCGTTGCCGTTACCCCCCCCCGCCCTTCCCCCCCTCGGGTCACACGCATTACCCCCCATGGGTACAGTACTCCAGATTTCGTAATAAAGGGAGGGGGGTCTCATTTCGGGGGGGGGTCTCTTCCAGGCTATCTTGGAGGGCCTGGGGGCGTCTGGAGACGATGTTTTCCAGGGTTCTCCCACGGGGGGGGTCTGAAATGGCTTGTTTTGGAGGGTCCAGACCCCCTCCCTTTTGTTACGCAATCTGGAGTAACGATCCTTCGCGCTGCGCTCCAACGTGACGCCCGCAGGCGAGAGCGAGAGCGAGAGAGAGACAGAGAGGAACCAAAACAAAAAATCAAAGGCGAGGGTCGGCGGCGACCCGCGGGGTGGGAAGTGAGCACAGGGCGGGCCTCCCCAGGAGGCTCGAAAGTCCCCGGCCTGCTGAGGAGTTGTCCGGGCCTTCCGCCAAGACACAGCATTTGTTTGAGAAGGCGCGAGGGAGGCTTCTGAGAAGTCCCGCGGCCTTCTGAGAAGGCGGGGGAGGAGGATGAGGAGGATGAGGAGGAGGAGGAGGAGGAGTAGGAGGAGGAGGAGGAGGAGGAGGAGGAAGAGTTCTTCTCATGTTGCCCCCATCGCTCGCCGCCGAGAGGAGAGCGGCGTTGCATCTTCGGGGGCCGCGTCTGTCCTGGAGGTGGCGGTTTTTCCTGGTGTCCGACGCGGGCTCGACGTGGTAGCGACACGGATTCGGCGTGGTTCGGACGCAGATGCGGCGTTCGGCGCGGATTCGAGGTGGAAAGTTGCGCGATCGGATAGACGGAGCCCCCCGAAGATTCAACGTGAACAGGGGGAGGGGGTCTCAGGCCCCAGGTTCTCGGAAGATGTGTCCATACAGTGGAGGCCCATGCCAAGAAACACTCTGTTTGCGTGCCCTGGGTTTCTTGGGTACGATGGCTTTGTTGTGGAAGGCACGACGCTCTCACACCAAAATTCAAAGGACGTCCTGGGGTCTCAGGGTTGGGTTTCTTGTGGAAGGTGTCTTGTGGTCGGGCCTCCACTGTAACGGTCATCCTAGAAATGTGTCCTTACCGATACCGTTTGCGATCGATGATCAACATGGAAGAAGGGCACATGCGGATCAACGCTTGAGACGGGCATGTCCCTCCGCAAGAGGAGTAGCCCACAAAAGTAAAAGCATACTCTGGGGACTTTTTTTTGTTGTTGGTTCTACGTTTGATGACTTTTGGGTACTGTTTGGCTGTTTTTTGGCCTCCGCGGGGGGGGGGGGGGCCGTCCTTCTCCTCGTCGTCCTCCTCCTCCTCCTCCTCTCTCGAGCCTCCTCCCTCGATCCTCCTCCCTCGATCCTCCTCCTCCTCCTCCTCCTCCTCCTCCTCCTCCTCCTCCTCCTCCTCCTCCCTCGAGCCTCCTCCCTCGACCCTCCGGCGGGAGGCTGCCGCGCGGGGGAGCGCCCGGCGCCCCGCCCGCCGCCCGGGGGGGCCTCTCCGGCGGCCTCTCTCCGCGCCCCCGCGCGGCGCGCAGGGCCGGCAACACGGGCGTGGACCCCGCCTACTGCGGGTCGGCCAGCGTCCAGGACCCCTCTTTCGAGTCGGGCCTGTGCCCACCCCTGCAGGGGGAGCTTCGACGAGAAATAGTAAAACGTACCCCCAAAAATAGTCAGAGAATAGTCCAAACATAGTCCCCAGACTATTTTGTCAGTATTCTTTGCGGGTCCGCCAGCGTCCAGGACCTATCTTTGAGTCGGGCCTGTCCCCCTACAGGGGGAGCTTCGACGAAAAAGAAAAAATACACCAAACACAGCCAACAAATGGTCCAAAAATGGTCCGGGGACTCTTTTGTGAGTAGTTTTTGACCTTCTTGTGGCATTTTTGGGGGTATTGTTCATTGTTCGTCGAAGCTCCCCCTGCAGGGGGAACACGCCCGACAAAAACCGATCTCGAAGCAGAGAAGGCGCCACAAGCTCGTGGAAGACGACCAAATGGGGAGAGGAGGCATACTGCCAGACAGGTTCCCAGATGTCTAGAGCATGCCTAAGATGTGTCTCTGAAATGCCAAGACATGATGTGAAACACGGCTCGAGCATGTTAAATACACAGATCGGAGCTATGTGAAAGACATGCTTACTTCAAGGATAGATCGGTTAGCGTGTCCATTGCCAAGGCATCCACAAGCATGAACATGAACTTTTGGCGCTCCGCGCGGATTTCTCGGATCGGCGCTGGGCGCCCCCTCCACCCGGTTGCGCCTCCGGCGCCGCCCCTGGCGCGCTCCGCGCGCCAGGGAGGGGCGTCCAGCGCAGATCCAAGAAGTCCGCGCGGAGCGCCAAAAGTTTGTGTTTATGCAGTCTTTTCTTTTGATCTTCGATCGTCGTGAGGGCGACCCTTCTCCGGAGTGATCTTTGGTGCGGGCCCACTGGGGTCCCCCGATCGCCGAAGGCGTTGCGGTAGTGGCGTCTTGCGCGCTTGCGTTTGGTCCCCCCGGCGGCTCCCCAAAAGGCTGCGCACCAGTGGTCACTCTTGCCCAGGGCCCCTCTTGCGTGTAGCCGAGCATCGGGAGGCGAAGATACCGATACCGCTGCTCGTCCTGGCGACCCCTCGCCGCCACGGCTGGAGTTTGCTTCGAGACGCTGGTCCGAACGCACCCCAGGGCTCGTCTGGGGAGTGGCGGTATCCGTAGCTTTGGGTTTCCCCATGCTGCCTGAGGTCCTGGCGTTGCATGTGTTTCGCAACGGGCGTTTTCGCCTGACTTCGGGCCCCAGGACCCCTCACAGATCGATCCGAGGAGAGAATTGCGCAGAAGGATGGGGTCTCTAGGGCTCAGGGCAGGATTTTGTTTGTGATGCTGAAGTTGTTGTGCAGCGTCATAACTCAGGGTCCTTCCAGGCATCCAGCCTACTAGCATTAAGTCGGGCATGTCCATCGCCTCTACAGGGGGAATATGCAAAATTGGTATACACAAATATTACGGGGTCGATGCTTCTCCAATGTTTGATCATGCTTGGGGTATGTGTGTAGCTCTTTTTTATTTGCCGTCCACAATCCGTTTGTAGAAAGACACGCCCGACCTAACAGCATTAGGTCGGGCATGCCCCTCCGACCAGCGGCGCCAGGCAGAGTAGACAATATTCGACGCAACGTGTACCCCGCGCGAAGGCTGTTAGAGATCCCGGAACCCCCGGAACGCATCATCAACAACAATTTGTGCCAATACATTCTTCTCGTCCCAAGGACTAGCACCGAAGCGTCGGAGAGGAGGACTCGCCATGTTGTTCTGCCTCCGGTGCCCCTCGCCGGGGGCCCCAGGGGGGCCCGCACAGAAAAGGACAGCTCGGGGCGACGCGCCAGCCCCTGGGGCTTCCGCGCAGCCGATCCAGATTGGTAATCGCCTTTGTGGAAAAGTGCTCAAATGTGGAAGGTGTGGGCGTTTGTGGGCGTGACCTGCTCGGCTGCCGCGCGTGCGTGCCGCTCCGTCCTGCAATGCCCATAGGCTTCTGGGCGGCCTTATGAGGGGCTCTTGGGAGCCTCTTGAAAGCCTCGTGGGGGCTTTTTGGAGCGTCATTGGGGCCGCTCTGGGGCCTCTTGGGGCTTCTTGTTGACGTCTTGTGCCGGCTTGGGGCGCTCTTGCGCCGTCTGGCCCCTTCGGAGGCCATCTTGGAGGCCTCTCGCGGCCATCTGAGGGCTCTCTTGGACTCCTCTTGGGCCGTCTTGGGGGCCGCTTGGACCGTCTTGGGGGCCTCCTTTGGCCGTCTCGGGGCCCTCTTGAGCAATCCTGGGGCCCCTTTGGGGGGCCTCTTTGGCCGTCTTGAGGTCTTCCTGGAGACTGTTTGGGCCGTCGTGGTCCTCTGAGAGCCGAAAGAGGCGAGAACGCGACAATCTTTCAACAAGACCACGGGGAGTCAATGATTTTGGCTCGTGGAGGCGCTCTTTGGGGTCCTCTGGGGGTCCTCTGGGGCGGTTTTGTGGGTCTCCTGGTTTCCTGGGGTCATCTTGAACCGTCATGGGGCCGTCTTGGGCCGTCTTGGGGCCGTCCTGGGCCATCTTGAGGCCTTCTTGGGGTCCCAAGAAGCCCAAGAGGCCGAAATTGCTGATTGCCCATCGGTTTTTGCAGGTTTGAGGCCCCGGAAGGACGGCCGCCCCTTTTGGTACGGCGCTGTAGCGCGACTCCAGGGCGGGGGGGTTGGGGGGGAGACAGGATATTGCAAAGATATACTATCTATATATGTATATATATATATATATATATAGATGTGGCGATTTGGCAATCATTGAATACATTGGATACGCTGCGTTATCGCCTCCGCAGAGAACGCTGCCGTTCAGCACGTCACTTCTGGACGTGGATTCTTTTCGCTTCGCGGTGTGTACGTCCGAAGTACGTACAGTCCAGTCGTTGCGAGGCTTCTTGGGAGCTTCTTTGTGACCTCTTGGAGGTGTCTTGGTGGCTTCTCGGGGCCTCTTCTGCACTGGGTTTCTTTGGGGTCTCTTGGGCGCGTGTTGGGCCGTCTTGGAACGCTCTTGCGGCGTGTGGCCCATTCGGGGGCCAGTCTGGGGGCCTCTCGCGGCCGTTTTGGGGATGTCTTGGGGCCCCCTCTTGAGTTGGGCCGTCTTAGGGCCCGCTTGGGCCGTCATGGAGGCCTTTTGAGTGTTTCCTGGGCCGTCTTGGGGCCATTTTGGAGGTTGCTTGGGCCGTCATGGGCCTCTGTGCCGGGGTTTAAAAAGCACGCGATGCTTGGCAGTGCTTATGCGAGAAGCGGCGCACAGCTCCTAGCGTGACAAAGCAGACTTGCTCTGCCCCGCTTGCTGCGGGCAGATTTGGCGCCGCGCAGCCGATCCAGACTGGTAATCGCCTTTGTGGAAAAGTGCCCAAATGTGGAAGGTGTGGGCGCTTGTGGGCGTGACCTGCTCGGCTGCCGCGCGTGCGTGCCGCTCCGTCCTGCAATCCCCAGGGCTTCCGGTCGGCCTTATGAGGGGGGCTCTTGGGAGCCTCTTGAAAGCCTCGTGGGGGCTTTTTGGAGCGTCATTGGGGCCGCTCTGGGGCCTCTTGGGGCTTCTTGTTGACGTCTTGCGCCGGCTTGGGGCGCTCTTGCGCCGTCTGGCCCCTTCGGAGGCCATCTTGGAGGCCTCTCGCGGCCATCTGAGGGCTCTCTTGGACTCCTCTTGGGCCGTCTTGGAGGCCGCTTGGACCGTCTTGGGGGCCTCCTTTGGCCGTCTCGGGGCCCTCTTGAGCAATCCTGGGGCCCCTTTGGGGGGCCTCTTTGGCCGTCTTGAGGTTTTCCTGGAGGCTTGGGCCGTCATGGTCCTCTGAGAGCCGAAAGAGGCGAGAACGCGACAATCTTTCAACAAGACCACGGGGAGTCAATGATTTTGGCTCGTGGAGGCGCTCTTTGGGGTCCTCTGGGGGTCCTCTGGGGCTGTTTTGGGGGTCTCCTGGGCCTTCCTGGGACTATTTTGAACCGTCATGGGGCCGTCTTGGGCCGTCTTGGGGCCATCTTGGGCCATCTTGAGGCTTTTCTTGGAGTCCCAAGAAGCCCAAGAGGCCGAATTTGCTGATTGTCCATCGGTTTTTGCAGGTTTGAGGCCCCAGGAAGACGGCCGCCACCTTTGGTACGGCGCCGAGGGCGCGACCCCAGGGAGGGGTTGGGGCGGGGGGGGACATAATATTGCAAATCAATATAATATGTGGCGATGTGGCAATCATTGGATACACTGGATATGCTGCATTATCGCCTCCGTGCCGCTCAGCATGTCATTTCCGGACGTGGATTCCTTTCGCTTTGCGGGGTGCACGTCCGGAGCACGTGCAGTCCAGTCGTTGCGAAGCCGCTTGGGGGCTTTTTTGTGGCCTTTTGGAGGTGTCTTGGGGGCTTCTTGGGGCCTCTTCTTCACTGGGCTCCTTTGGGGCCTCTTGGGGCTTCTTGTTGATGTCTTGCGCCGGCTTGGGGCGCTCTTGCGCCGTCTGGCCCCTTCGGAGGCCATCTTGGAGGCCTCTCGCGGACATCTGAGGGCTCTTTTGGAATCCCCTTGGGCCGTCTTGGGGCCCCTTGGGCCGTCTTGGGGGCCTCTTTTGGCCGTCTCGGGGCCCTCTTGAGCAGTAATCCTGGGGCCCCTTTGGTGGCCTTTTCGGCCGTCTTCGGGTCTTCCTGGAGCCTGCTTGGGCCGTCCTGGTCCTCTGAGAGCCGAAAGAGGCGAGAACGCGACAATCTTTCAAAAACTAGCGGCAAATCAATGATTTTGGCTCGTGGTGGCGATCTTGGGGGTCCTCTTGGGGTCCTCTTTGGCCGCTTTGGGGGTCTCATGCGCCCTCTTGGGACAATTTTGACATGTCATGGGGCCGTCTTGGGCCGTCTTGGGGCCATCTTGGGCAATCTTGAGGCCCTCTTGGAGTCCCAAGAAGCCCAAGAGGCCGAATTTGCTGATTTTCAATAGGTTGTTCTAGGTTTGAGGCCCCAGAAGGACGGCCGCCACCTTTGGTACGGCGCCGAGGGCGCGACCCCGGGGGTGGGGGGGACATAATATTGCAAATAAGTATAATGTGTGGCGATGTGGCAATCATTGGATACACTGGATATGCTGCATT